TAAACATCATTAAAGCATAGTGATTAATCACAAAAACAATATGTAATTATAGATGTGTTTTCCAATGGTCTTAGGCGACCCCTGTGAAAGGGTCGTTTGACCCCAAAGGGGTCGCGACCCACAGGTTGAGAACCACTGCTGTAGGGCCTTTTAAACCATCGTAGAAGTTCGACCTGTTTTGTCTTTTATGGTATCTCCTTTAAACTTTACAGACAGTAAGATTGAGGTTTTGGTTGTACAGTTCTTCAAGTTTGACAAATGCTTAGAGTTGTGGACTTACCATCAAGTCAAGATCCAGAACAATTTCATCGGCCCCTTCCCCCAGATATATCTTGGTGTCACGTTTAACAGCTCCTGAGCGTGCATTCTGTGTCTGTGTGCAGTGCAGGCCCCGCCCCTGGTAGCTGCTACACTAACTCACCCGCTAGAAGGCCTCGCCGAGAGCCGAGTGTGAGTGAGCAGAGACTTGAGGGTCCCGTTGTATACAACAAAGCCTGAAACCATGGCGCGTGGGGTGGACTCAGGAGCTACTCTCATTGAAGTTGGTTTCTCTTTGGTCTTTCGTTTTATTTGGGAAAAATCTCAAATGAACATTATTCCTGTCTAGCTTGTCATAGTGAGTTTGGAGGTTTGCCAGTAAAAGCCACTTTTAATTTGTCTTTGGAATATAAAGGGCTTGTTTCTTTCTGTTTTTATTATCAAATAGACTTATGGTTTCTTTTGTTTTCTAACCATATTTTAAATTTTAATGTGAAACAAAGTTCTATACCTTGCTCCTCCTTAACCACATTTGGCTGTTTTGATAATTATGATTATTAAATGTTATTACTGAGTTTCCTTTTTTTCTTGAATATATTTAAGATATGAAGCAATTCAATAAAAAACGAGTTAGTTATGAGATGTAAATGCAGGACCGTGCGTTTTCTCCGCTGTGCCTTCCCGGTTCCGTGTCGGTGACCCGGGCAGGGCAGGAGTAGGCCTGTACTCGGTGGGGCGGGCGGGGCGAGCGGCCTGCCTGCTGCCCGCTGCGCTCTGGGACGGTGGAGCACGGGTTCCTTTTCGGAAAGGGCAGAACATGCTTAAGATGTGCCCCCCAATGCAGTAGACTTGGCTCCTAATGAAGTGAATGGAATGTAACCATGTGTGTCTTTTTCCCTTCCAACAGCTTCCATGCCCATGGCTGCTCTAAATTTGGGCCACATATACCCATTTCAGAGAGGCTTTTTCTGTAAAGACAACAGCATCCGGTACCCGTACCATGACAGTACCGTCACCAGCACCATGCTCACCGTACTGGGGCTTGGGTTACCCATTTCCTCTGTAAGTAAATGCACGTATAGGTAGGTGGCGCTGGTGTGTGGTGCTGGAGGGTGGTGGAGTGATGGCGTTGGGGGTGAGGCCACCCCGGCCTTCCCAGTGTGGGTGTGCTGACTGCCCACCGCCCGAGAAGCAGGCCGCTGTGTTCATCAGGGGCAGCTTCTCCGGGAAAAGGGGGTGCGATGCCACAGAAACAAGTGGGGTCGTCCTGAAGACTGACGGGTGGTCTGTTAGCGGGGAGGGCTCACCTCAGTCATTTGGAGCAACTCCTTTCAAGACATCAGTGAAGACACTTGCGCAAGCCCAGAAGGCGATTTGTGTTGATGAATAACATGATAAGCTCAGACTGTGCTGGTTTTATCCTATCATTACATGGAAGTTGAGGCCATAGTGAAGGAGACAGATGCATGTATTAAACCTGAGAAATAGGACATGTGCAGAATAGAATCCTCAGGACGCCTCAGCCCGGGCCAGGGGTTTGAGGTTGTGCGGTGCTGAAGGTAGGTCGTCGGTCTGGGCTGGTGCGGGGCTTCGCTGTCAGAGACCCGGGAGGTTCCCTCTAAGCCAAGTGCCACCCACAGTTAAGCTGTCGCGCTCACGTCCTTCACCCTGGGCTCCGACTCCGGAGCCTCCCCGTGTCTCCTGCGGCCCCGGGAGGTTTCTCCTCCGACCGCCCGCGTCCCCAGGGAGTGGGCTTGCTCAGCGCCTGTCTCCACAGCAGGGAGGCTGGCTTTTCTTTTCTTCCCTGGTTTGCCCTCAGATTGCCTCTGAATAATAACCTGCTCCTTGGGTTTTCTAGTTTATATCTCAGTTCCTTTTGTCTAATAGATTTTTTAATAGTCTTTAGCACCATGTTGTGAAGGGGACTTGGATTTTGTTAGGTTCCAAGATATCCTATACAATAAAACCCTAATATGCAAATAGACCGAACAGGGGAACAACTGGTCACTATGACACGCACTGACCACCAGGGGGCGGGTGCTCAATGCAGGAGCTGCCCCCTGGTGATCAGTGCGCTCCCACTGGGGGAGTGCTGCTCAGCCAGAGCTGGGCTCACGGCTGGCGAGTGCAGCAGCGGTGGCAGGAGCCTCTCCTGCCTTCACTGTAGGCGGGTGGTAAGGAGTTCTGGACTGTGAGAGCCCTGGACTGCGAGAGGGATGTCTGACTGCTGGCTTAAGCCCGATTTCCAGGGGACACCCCTCTCCCCCAGTGCACACATTTCATGCGCCAGGCCTCTCGTATTAAATATTTCCATAGATAGCATATACACTCTAATTTGATTATAAGCACTTACATAAGAATAAAAAGGGAGAAACATCTGTATTTAGTTTAAGGAGATACTTTTTCCCAAGAGGTAAATTCCACCATAACTGGGTGCATCTGCTGTTCCGGCAGCGTGGCCTCTGTGCGCAGGAAAGCAGGTGTGCCGTCGCCACTGGGTGCAGTCCAGGCCTGGCTTGCAGCCATGGCTGTGAGCAGCTGTTGCCAGGCAGAGTTTTCTATGAACCACCCTGTACTTGAGGAGATGATTGCTTGAGGATAAGGAAGTGACTTTTAGTCATTTCATCTCTTTCTAAAAAATGTTAAATTATAAAAATAATACATATTTATTAGTGAATTTAAGAAAATCTGTTATAAAGGAAAAAGGAAGGAGAAATCACCCTAATTAGTTCTGCTACCAAAGAAAATTATTAACATTCTTATATTACCAGTATTTCCTTTAATTGGACAGGTTTTTTAAAAAATCTTCACCCGAGGACATGGTTTTATTCATTGAGAGAGAGAGAGGCGAGAGAGAGGGAGCGATCCATTGGTTGCCTTCTGTACACACCCCGACACGGATCGAACCGAACCCATATCCTGGGTGTGTGCTGCGCCTGGTCATCGAATTTTTGACCCTTCAGCCTTTTGTGCACAGGACCAAGCTCCAACCAATGGCCACACCAGCCAGGCTAGCTGGTCAGCATTCATACCATTGTGAACACACTGCAAACTCGGTTTGTGCCTTGTTTTTTACTTCTTTGTATAATGAACATTTTTGAGTTATTATAAATATCAAACAGCTTAAATTAGGAAAAATACAGCTAAATTTTCAAAAAGTAGTAGGAAAAGACTTGGGTAAATCCTTGTGTTCTTATCCCCAATATTGGAGCGATGATCTGCAAAGATTTTCTAATGAAAATGTTTCTGTTAAAAGAAGTAGCAGCATGTGGCTGTGTCAGGGACTGCATGTGCGGCCGGCGGGCCGCAGCGACTTGTCTGTTCATTTTCATAGTTTACATGTAACCTCAGATGTAGAAGGCCTCAGCCAATGGGAAGACTAGATTTTTATGTTTTCTTGGCTTAACGTTTCTTTTGTGGTTTTAAGGACCTAATTTCACACTAAATGTTTCCCTTCCCTCTGGCTTTGTGTAGGTTTGCCTTTTCACTCCCCAGGTCCTTATACATTTACTTTCATAAATGTCACATTTCTAGAAAAAGATCGAAGCTTGAATTTGTATGCAACTTTTAGAGTGATGAAAGTTAAGTCCCAAACCCCTATATTGCAATGCATATCCTTTTTCTAGAGTTTAAAATGGATCTAGTTTGGGAATAGAAAACTTACTTTCTGCATTTGCCAGGTTATTTTACATTGCCTGTGAGTAGTTGCTTTTCTTAGGTCTTGATTATTCTATAGCACAGCCTTTTAGTAAACTTATGTTTAGCCTAAAATAATATAGTATAGCCAACTGTGTGTGTGTGTGTGTGTGTGTGTGTGTGTGTGTGAGACCAACATACAAAACTCCTAAAGAGACATTGAATATTTTACAGTGATCTAAACTGCACCATGATAACTGGGAATGCATGTGAAAAATGAACTGTCCTATATAATAAAAAGCTAATATTCTAATTAAACCAGAGCGCGGAACGACCTTCCGGAATGACCAGTGGACGGGGCTGTGGGGCCGCGAGGCAGTCGGGCTGCAAGGGCCGAGCCCCTTGCACAAATTTCATGCATCGGGCCTCTAGTATGTTAATAAACACAGACTTTATACTCAAAGTGTGTATACGGTTTTGGGGACACTCTGAATTTGTCGAAAGTCACAGAACTGTACAGTACAAAGAATGAGCCCTTTTTCAAAACGCTCTTAGCTCTCCGGTTGCCTTGCTTTTCCACACACATTCAGAGTCAGTGTGTCTACCAGCAGTCTGGCTGGATCTCTGCAAGAGTCACATCCTTTGGGAGAACTGATGCCTTCCCCTTGCTGACTCTTCCAGCGAGTCTTCCTCTGGGCCTCTGACTTACTTCATCCGTGTTTTGTCACTTTCAGCACACGGAGCCTACACGGTTTTTGAGGTTTATACCTAAGGATTTCAGTGTTTTGGACTATCATAAATGGTATTGTGCTTTTAATGTTGGTCTTCAGTTGTTCATTGCTGTTGTATAGAATAGTCAGCAGAGTTTTATTGTCATACTAGAGGCCTGATGTATGAAATTCATGCAAGAGTAGGCTTTCCTTCCCCAGCTGCCAGCACGGGCTTCCCTCTGGCACCCGGAACCCGGGCTTCCCTCGCAGCCCCAGCTTCGTCCAGAAGGTCGTCCGGAAGGACATCTGGTCTAATTAGCATATTATGCTTTTATTATTATAGATATAAGCAGAAGGAAAAGAAAGACGGCATCAGCATAGTCTTTCTGCTATCTTGTCAGTGTGATTGTATATTAGGTCCTCCTGGCATCTTTTGAGAAATGTATTTTCAAAATTGACTTTCCTCCTTGGCATTTTCCATCTGGGAGAATAAACAAGGGAGCTCTGCAGAAGGTCTGCTGGAGAACGTGCACTCCCCACCCACAGGCCTCACAGCTGCTAGCCAAGCGGCACAGGCAGCTGGTGAAACAGCAGAGCCCTTTCTCAGCAGCTGGGCCCCCCCTTCAGTGCAGGCGTCGGGAGAGGGACATGAGCCCTGAGAACCCACACGTGGACATCGCCCTCTCTGCTCAGTGTGTTTCTGTGCCACTGAGCGTGGTACCCGACCTCGCAACAGGTCTCGAGGGGCCTGGCATCTGTCAGAATTTCTTAGCCCTGCACCCGCGTGTCCCTCACGGTTGGCTGCTGTGGGCTCTGGCGTGCACACCACTCTCTCCTGGGCACCTGCTGTTTCCTGTCCACCCCAGGGGATACTGTCCTGCAGTCAAAGGAGCAGGCTTCCATCTCCGCCCGGTGGGTGAGCCTGTGGCATCGCTGGGGGGTGTGTGTGTAGTTCCCATGGTTAGCCGGACACCCCGTCGGCAGTATTCCTACTTACACGCTCGTTAGTATTTGAGTGACGTATCGAGCGGCTAGTGTCTGTGCAGGAGGGTTGGAGAGGAGGGGTGCCCACGTCTGATGGGCTTGCGATGACTGGCAGTGGGTGAGGTTCTGTGGTTGGAGTGTGTGGAAACGAAGTGTTTCCGTGTCCTGTGCTCTCTGCCATGTGTTCTAGCTGCATTGGAGGGAGGGGGGCTGTGAGAGTTCCGTGCAGAGGGCCTGACTCTCAGTGGGCTCAGGTCACCAGCCATGTGGCGCCTTGAGGAGCAGAAGGCGGGAGGTGCAGTGCTGCAGCCACTCGGAAAGCAGCCGGCAGCTTCTCAGGAAGCCGAATGTGTGACCATTGTCTGTCCGAGGGCACCACCCTGGTCATTCGTCATAAAGGACAGAACTGGAGAAAACCCGAGCGTCCGTCGGCTGGCGAGTGGATGAAGCAGACGTCACCGCGTGAGCTAGAGCAGGACCCTGGTCAGCAGCAGATAGGAGCAAGCTGCATGCTCCCACATGATGACCCTCCCATCACAGAACCCCACGCCCCATGTGACGTAGATGAAAGCTTTGCAAAAGGCAGGTCTGCCTGGCGACAGCAGGTGAGCGGTGCCCGGGCCGGTGGCAGCGAGACCGACTGCGTGCCCGCGTGCCCCTCACTTGGTGCCGCGAGTGTCCTGTGTGGCGCTCAGCTCCGTGTCCTGTCGCGTCCAGCGGGATCCCTCGCACCACGATCGACTCGGTATTTGTCCACTCGAATATTCCTATTTTTAAAAATGGACTAGTTATACATGTACGTGACTTTATTTTGTTTCCTCCTATTCTAAACACCCACAAATATTTTTCTAAATCTAAGAATAATTTCTAACATAGTTTCTGTAGTCAAAGGGGAAAAAACCCACAACTTAATATGCCTGCTAAAAACATTTTCCACTGTATTTGGGCCAATAAATGTGAATTTTTTCTGAGAATAAGGACATAAAACCTACCAAGTTTTAGGCACTAATCAGATGTGGATTCAGTTTCTGTACCAGATATCTTACTCCAAGAGAGTGCTCTTTGAAAATGTAAAGCAGTTCAGAAACATGCAGTGTGTTATGCGTAGAGTTCTCGCCAGTGAGGCGAATTCTAGACGCGGTGGATCTCTGTCAACAGAAGAAACGCTCGTGCGGGGGGTGTGGTGGGGGCTGAGCCTGGGGAAGGGCTGTGCTTGTGTTGGAGCCTGAATGCGGACAGTGGGAGGTGCGTAGGGTCAGTTAGCACAGTCAGCTCTACTCGGGTTTTTCTTAAGATGTAGCATTTATGAGAATATGGCTTTGGGAACCTTGTGAGCACCTTGACCTCTACCGAGTTCACGCTATGGCAAAGTGGCTGCCCCAGAGAAATGAACGCGGGCGCTGGTGTTCGGGGAGGATACGGGAAATAGGGACGTGCCGCTCCTTCCCACCTGCCCGTGGGCCCGACTGGCTGACGTGTGGGCCGTGCTCCGCAGAGAGCAGAGCGTGGCCTTCAGGCTCCCCGGGCCCATGAGAACTGGGAGTGGTTGTGCGGGAACACCAGCGTGTCAGCCTAGCGGGGGCGGCACTGCGGGGACCCTCCCGACTTAGACACTGGGGCAGACTGCGTGTCGAGGGTTTCTGCTAAACTGTGACTTTAGTGCCAGCTGGCACCAGTCCGTGTGCTGCCGTGTGCACCGGTCTGCCGAGCTCGGGCAGCAGAGGAGAAGGGCTTCTGGAGTCCGCGTCAGCCGGAGCCAGGCATTCCGGCGGTGAGCGGGGACCGTCCTCAGGGAAGCGCTGCGGGAGCAGAGGGTCTGACGTGCGTCTTTCCTTAGAGACTTGGTTTGCAGCTCAGCTCCTTCCGCAGCCGCTGTGCCCTCGCTGTGGACAGTCCCAGCGCCGGGGAGAGCGTCCTCAGGCCCTGGGTGGCCTGGCCGGTGACAGGGCCTGAGTGTGGTGTGGCCTAGACCTGGGTGGAAAGCAAAGTCTGTGACAAATGGGTTTGAAACTAGTGCTGAAATGACAAGGGCACGAGAAGGGAGCACCCCTACACCCGTGGGGTGCTGGGCAGGAAGGGCAGAGTCCCTCTGGGTAGAAGTGTGCCAGGAGGCCTGGAAGGGCGTTGCCTGTGGAAGACGCGGGGGCCCTGCCTGCACCTCCTCTCCCGCCTGCACTGCTGCGCCCTCCCGCGTGCTGACAGCCCTGGGGTCACTGTTGCCGTTGCTTCGTGCGGATGCTCCACTTTTAATGATGTTTTCATTTATTCCCTTTGCTAGCCGGATTGCCTTTTGCAATTCTCACTTCAAGGCACACCCCCTTCCAGCGAGGACTGTTCTGTAATGACGTGTCCATCAAGTACCCTTACAAGGAAGACACCATCCCTTATGCGTTACTGGGGGGAATACTCATTCCATTCAGTGTCATCGTCGTAAGTTACATCCATTCTTCACATTCTCCCTTTTGGTCCGTGGGCTTAATGTTGGTGTTATCTGTGAATGACGAGTGCATAACCCTTAAAGTGATGTGTGTGCTTTCACCATTGCCTGAAGCTGTTATTTGCTGTCGGTGGGACCAGAGCAGAGCCACGCGTCCCCGGAGGAGCCCGCTGCGCCTCAGCCAGTGGCTGCTGGAGCTCTGGCTCTCGCTCAGTAATCCTGCGAGAGCTGATGCTATATCATGTCCCTACTTTAGACAGGGGTGGGATGTTAGTTTATAACTTTCGGAATCCGGGTAGACTGTTCTGTACCTACTTTCTAGTTACTGATTCGGGAAAAGAAAATTTGATAACTAATGTTAAGCCTTCACTTAACCCACGGTCACTTCAGAGGATTTTCAGGTCACACCAGGAGCAGCGAGGAACGCCGGCGCTCTGGGTGGTCAGCAGTGACCGAGGTGGGCGAGCCCGGCCTGCTCTGGGGAGGCCTCAGGCCACAGAGAGGACGTGGCCCCGGCCCGGAGAAGAGAGGCTGGGATTTGTTCTTCATAGCTTATAACTGGAGAAGCAAGACTTTAGTCAAAAGCAGAAAACGTGGTCCCATCCAGGAGATAGGCCGACAAGATCATAGCCTCAGGTTTGTCATTTTGGGAATTAATTAAAAATAAAGACACTTCTTCATTCAGAAATGGAATGTCCTGCTCAGGAATGACCACAGTCCTCAGCTCTGCAGGGGAATCACTCGCGATGGCGGTGCATCATCGACACAAGAAAACCTCTGCTCGGTGTCCCTGAGACCAGTCCCTGGAGGCAGCGGTGCCGGTTCCTCAGGGCGTCCTGGCTGCCACGGTGGGGCCGCCCGGTCCTGGCGCGGGGGTTACGCAGTGACCTCGGAGACTCCGACGGAGGGCGAGGGTTAGGAACTCGTGGTCCCTTTAACCGAAGGTCCTTCTGCGGGGTTTGCTGCTGAAGGGAAGAGAGCCACGTCTCTGATTCTTCCACTGAGGGTGGAGTGAGACTAGAGCAGTGATGGCGAACCTTTTGAGCTCGGCGTGTCAGCGTTTTGAAAAACCCTAAGTTAACTCTGGTGCCGTGTCACATATAGAAATTTTTTGATATTTGCAACCATAGTAAAACAAAGACTTACATTTTTGATATTTATTTTATATATTTAAATGCCATTTAACAAAGAAAAATCAACCAAAAAAACGAGGTGACACGTGTCATAGGTTTGCCATCACTGGAGTAGGGTCTTTTGTTAAGTCTGTTCTTGAGAGATACTATTTAAACGGAGCGTGTAGAGGAGTCTACTTTCCTGGGCTTCGCTCAGTAACGGATGCAGCTGCAGGTGCAGCTGCCCAAGTCGCTGCAGAGGACAGACGGCCACACTGCGGGTCGGGGTGCCAGCCGCCCAGCACCCAGCCCTCCTGTCCCGTCAGTGACACGCAGCTTGGACCGTTTCCGCACCCCGTGAGCACGTTGTCTTCACATGGAGAGTAGCAACAGCAAGGAGACCAAGGGCCGGCTCCACGCCATGACCCGCCCGTCGCACGGTGCATGACGTGCCGTCTTCACACAGACCGTCAGCGGGCACAGACGCTGCTCGAGGCAGAGGTTCACGTGCAGTGTATTCATTAGCTCAGCTTCTTGCAGGCCCACGTGGTCGGACGGTAAACCATCTCCTTCAAAAGCCGTTTAGGCCTAGGACTCAGACTCACCCAGGCCTCGGACGTGGATTGCAGACAATCCACAAACACGATGGCGGTAGGCGAGCTCAGTGAGGAGGCGTGGCAGGCTGGCCGGCACCCCCACGGGGCAGCGAGGGCCGGCCCCCTGTGCCTGCTGATGAACGACTGCGACTTCTGAGGGAGACTGAGTAGGATGAGGGGACGAGGTGTTCGGAGGTATTGAGGCAGGAGTGGAACCGGCCAGGGGTCCTGGACACTGTTCTGGGAAGGTGGGCCCGAGCGAAGATGAACGTAGCGACAGCGTAGAGATGGACAGGGTCACACCGAGCAGGTCATCACTAGACTGACCTTCAACAGCGTCCTCTCTGCTCCCCGTCTCTTCAGTTCTTGGTTTGTTCTGTCTCTCGGGTCTGAGTGAATCATGCGTGACCGTCACCCCGGCTCTGAAATTAGGCCATAGATTAGGTCTCGTGAGTGTGGGCGCCCCAGGGGTTGAGAATGGACATACGTGGCTCCAAGGCAGGAGGAGAGAGTAAACGAAACACAAAGATGGCTGCCCCGTGCCGGTCATGCAGACTCACCCTTGTTTACCTGGAAGAGCCGTTCAGCACCTCCCTCTGGCCCGCTTCTCACTGGAGCCGGAGCCCACGATCGGAATGGCGTCAGAGTCCCGCCTCCTGTCGCAGTCACGCTTCAGCGCGTGCTCCTGTGGGTCAGCCTGCATGGCACCCGGAGCCCACAGCTCCTCTGTCCCCAGGGCGAGAGCCGGTCCTTCTCCTTCCTCCTGACAGGAGGCTCCGCAAGTCCAGCCTTGTTTCAGGAAAGCGGCTGACGGCTCACGCGGTGACAGCTGGGCCGTGAGGTCTCGCTGCCCAACTGGGGCTGACACACTGGCACCTGCTCTGAGCGGCCCAAGGCCAGCTCCACAGCCAAACCGGAGTCTGTCCTGCCACCGGTCTGTCCGGTGCCGGGCCCCCAACAGCCCGGGAGGTGGAGCAGGTGGCCGGGCAGGCCCGCAGTGTGGCCACCCCCCGGGGGCCTGTCTCAGGACAGGCGAGATCTGCCCACGAGCACCCCAGCCAGGAGCCTCCTGTGGGCTCCACGCGTTTACCCCGAGGCAGCATCTTCAGTTTATTCAGCACCCAGTGAGGTCATGTGATAGGTCACGTGGCGGCACCGGCTTCCTAGGGAGCTGGACATCCACCTGCTTTTGTAGGAAGGGCTCCTGGCCAGCGTCAGTTCCAGCTCAGGAGGGATTGGGGAGCTGGGGGGCCGGGAAGGAGGCACATCGGGACCGGGTTCTGAGCTCCTTCCGTGAGGTGGTGGGGCGGTCTGCACGTAAACCGTTCGTGCAGACGAACCGTCCTTACGTGGACGGAGCAGTGAGCCAGCAGGGCTGCGGGAAGCTGTGACTCAGCCGCTCCGCGGGACTCGGCAGCAGGCCGCTCAGGCCGTTACTTTGGGCCCAGCAGCTCGTGTGGCTGGTTTTATTAGCAAATGTAATTTTTATCATGTTGCCGTTTGGTGTGTGTGTTTTTTTAATTTCTCAGGGTATTAGTCTGTGAACTTGTCAAGTATTTGTGGACCTTTTTGTGCCTCTGACCTCATTCCATGGCTGCAAGTTGGTCCCCGCTGCACGGGGCCTGGGAGGCGTGGCCTGCAGAGCTGCAGGCGGCGGCGGGAGGAGGCCCTGGGCGGTTTTCCTGGAGAAGGGGCCTCAGGGCGCCCGGCCTCCTGCTCCCTCGGCCTCCTCTGCCCTCAGGGCTAGGTCCCTGCTTGTATTTTCGATGTTTTACTCCTTAAAATTCTCATCCACCTTTTTTTCTCCCCTTTTAACACGATGGCTGTTGTGATGTACGGAGTGTCTGGGAAGAACGAAGAGGTAGCCTTCCATAAGGGATGCTCCAATGGGGGTCTGTTTTGTGAACGGACTGTTCTTGTCCACATCGCTGTCTGCTTATTCAAACTGTTTATTTCCGTACAAGCAGCAAGGCTGTAGGGGACGGACAGTCCTCTGGCTTGGCCATTGACCGGACCCCCTTTTTGTGCTCAGCTATCCTAAGTGGACTCCGCATGTGTAAAGAAAGGAGCGTTGTTTTTAAAATAATTTTATTGTGATTTACCACTTTCTTTTCTATTTTTAATTTTGTTTAACGTGCCCGTTGGCTGCTCTCACAGGTTCTTCTGTTTCTTTTTCAGATGGTCCTCGGAGAAGCCCTGTGTGTTTACTGTAACCTCCTGCACTCGGACTCCTTCGTCAGGAATAACTATGTGGCCACCATCTACAAGGCCGTGGGCACCTTCCTGTTCGGCGCGGCCGCCAGCCAGTCCCTGACCGACATCGCCAAGTACTCCATCGGCAGGCTGCGGCCGCACTTCCTGGACGTCTGCGACCCAGACTGGTCAAAGATCAACTGCAGCAGCGAAGGTTACATTGAAAACTACGTCTGCCGAGGGAACGCGCAGAAAGTGAAGGAGGGCAGGTGCGTGTCCCTGTGAGGGCCTGCGTGACGGCGCGGCCGGCCCCGAGTTGAGGGCCGGCTCTGTTCTCCTCACTGCGCCCGTCCCCCCTATTTCCCGTCCTCGTCCTCGATTTAAAGCACTTAGTGCAGCTCTCATCTCCAACGCGTCATGGTGTGCGCAGACCTTGTAGGTCCCTGGTAGTCCAGGATGAGCAGCTGTCTCCCGCCCAGGGAGTAAATGCTTTAGGCTCGGCGGCCAAACGGTGCATCTGACACGTCCAACCCCAGGGCTGTCGCAGGGGAAGCAGCCCTACAGCCTGGGGGAGCCCACAGCTGGACATGTACCCACTGAGAACACTAACCTGTCGCTGTCTCCAACTTCAGAGCTTGTCTTACAAAAGGCAGTCACTTCTGAACGTTCCAGAGGCGCGTTCCTCGGGGCCGACTGCAGGTGGGGAATAACCCGCAGGCCCTGGGCCGGTTCTGGCGTCAGAGCTGCTGTGGCGAGCCTGGCGGGCTGGCTCCAGGGCTCGGCCATCCTGAGTGTCACAGCCGCCCCGCGCTGCCCTGCCCTGCCCTGCCTCCCCCTCCTGGTTCTAAAGGGGAAGGGGGCGCCTGGGCCTCCAGGAGAGAATGAGCCCTCTCCTCTCTTCCAGGCTGTCCTTCTACTCGGGCCACTCCTCCTTCTCCATGTACTGCATGCTGTTCCTGGCGGTGAGTACGTGCCTGCGTGACGCAGGTCGGGGCTCTCCCTGCAGCCCCCGCCCTCACCTGGTGCGCGGTGTGAGTGCATGTGGCCTCCCGTGGACCACCTCACGCACTCGTCAGCTGACGCCTGTCACCTGCCCCCTGCTGTGCCGTGAGCTCCTTAGAGTGGGTGCCCATCTGCCACGGCCGTGACGGCTGCTGCCCAGACTGTCCCTCATGCCCAGGTGGACCCTAAGGCTGGCTCGTCTCCACTAGTTCCTGCTTCCTGACACGGCTGTGCGCCCTCTGGGGTGGTTTGATTTGCTTGGATTCTTGCTTGGACACCGACTGGTCGGTTTCTCCTACCAGAGACGGGGGAGGGACAGGCTTTGTTTGCAGCTGTCCCCCCTCCCCCCTCGCTCCTGCGGCCTTGGTCTGGCTGCCCCTTTTGCAGAGGAGACTGGGGAGGGGCTGGGTAAAGGCTAGTGGAGGACATGAGGCGTCCCTTCCTGTTGGAGGGAGCGGCTCTACTGGGAGGCTCAGGTGTCCTTGACCTCACGCCTCCTCTCAGGACAGGTGGGCACAGCTGGCCAGCAGGTCTCAGCTAGCCCAGCCCCTCGGGTCTGGCAGGGAGTGGGGGGCCACATCCATTCTCAGCTCGTGGTGATCCCTCCGCTTCCCTCTTAAACCCTCACTGCAAACCCCCTGGGCCTGCACTGCCCAGGCCCCGATGAGTCGTGAGGGCTGTCCTGGTCAAACTCTGCCCGCCCCTGCTGCCCGCCCCGAGGGGTCACTGCTCTCTCCCTTCCAGTTGGGGGGAGGGGACTGTGGAAAGCCCGCAGCACCTAAGCCCACAGCTGAGAGCCCCCCACCGGGCGTGCACCTTCAGAACCAGGTGCTCCCAGCTGCTGAGAACGGAGCCCAGTGTGCCCAACAGCTGGGCCGGGCCTGTCTGTTCTGAATAAGCACAGCCACACACACAGTTTTCTATTGAGTTTTTAGGTCGTCACTGGACAGAAATTAGACCAAAAACGTGCTTTTAATGAGCCCAGATTTGCCAAGAGGCGCTCATAGGAAACTCAGATTTCTCCCTCGTCAGGGTCCTGAGGCTGCGCTGTCAGGCAGGCGGCCGGGAGGAGCGCTCAGGGCTAGGTGGGAAAGGGGTGCAGAGAACCCGCTGGGGGGCGAGGGCTGGACTACAGCGGCGCTGGCTGAGGCAGTGATTCCACTTACCTGTGAGCGAGCCCAGGCAGTGGCGCCCCGGGTGTCAGTTGCTGAGCATTAAGCCGACTTGCTCTAGACAGGCTGGCGGGGAGGCTCAGCCCAAGACGCGCCTTCGTGTGAGCCCCGGACAGACTGCGGGGCTGAAACCCTAGTCCAAAGGCGCCCTCTGCCCTGGGACATGGGCGAGGCGGCGGCACACCAGGCGGAGGCAGTAAATCCTGAGAAGTTCCTGGGTAGTAGTTTGTTTTGTTCTGCTTAAAGGGGTGAACTTTTAGGACACTTGCCTGAAGCCTTATTCCATATGTGATAAAAATATCGGCTATTTAATGACTAATAATTAATGTCTGCGGGTCATTTGAGACACACCAGCCCTGTAGAGGCCAGGGGACCCCTGACGTGAAGTCATTTCAGCTGCACATTGACACGATCTCTCTGTTAGCTCTACCTTCAGGCCAGGATGCGGGCGGACTGGGCGAGGCTCCTGCGGCCCACACTGCAGTTCGGCCTCGTGGCCACGTCCATCTACGTGGGCCTTTCTCGCGTGTCCGACTACAAGCACCACTGGAGCGACGTGCTGACGGGGCTCATCCAGGGGGCGTTGGTGGCCGTGCTGGTGGTGAGTACCAGGTGGCAGGCACGCCCGCGTGGCAATGGCACGTGGTCATTGAGTGGAGAGACGTCCTGTGAGACCACGGTGGCACAGAGTGCAGGGCTGCCCAGTCACGTCAGGGTGGACACGGATGGACACCAGAGTCCCCGTGTGCTCCTTGTGAAAGGCTCCGACTACAGCCGTCTTCTTGTTGGTAATGAATTGGAAAAAAGCAAATTTACATGAAGAATAACAGTTGCCAGCAGAGTGAGGCTCTTTGCCCCCAACATAAAACGCAGCTCCACGGATGAACCCCGTGGACAGACATGCCTGGTAGCATGATGGCTGTGCCCTTAGTCCTACCCACAATGCGTGTCCTGCTCTTCAGAGTCAGTTTTGCACACTGCTTGCTGAAACTCTGCCTATGGCTTCTAACCTTATTCTGAGTATAATCTGTTCCCTGTAGGTGGTGTATGTATCAGATTTCTTCAAGGAGAGAAATTCTTTTAAGGAAAGAAAGGAGGAGGCTTCTCATACAAACCTGCATGAAACGGCCTCGGGGGAGAATCACTTCCGGAACAATCAGCCCTGAAGGCGTGAGGGCAGAGGGAGAAGGATGCTGCCCAGAGAGAGGGCGTGTCCCTGTGTGCACAGCCTGGGAGGGACTCTGCTGCTATTCCCACGCTCACTTCCCTGTGTGTACATAGTTCCCTAACACGGCGGCTGTCTAATAGCTCCAAGTCCACGAAGAAATGTCAGCCTTTCAACAATGCCTCACCTGTACATTTTTATTAAAAACGCAACGCTTATGTACAAATGTCTGCGATAGTGCTTGATTCAAATGACGTGTGTTCATGTCTGAGGACAACTGTCGTGGGAGGGCGAGCCGAGCGCTGCTCGTGCATGTGGTCATCTGCAACCCGACGGGAGGTGGATGGGCCACCCCACGTCCTGTGGCTCCTACAGGTAGAGGCTGGCGGCAAACACGATGTCTCTCTTGATTTTGGTGATGCCTGAGGAGAGAACACGGCTCAGTTTAGCTGTTGAGGCCATGAAGAATGTCATCCCCCCGTTGTAGAGACAGCACACGACCCTGCTGGTCTGAATGAGACCTGGTGAGTTCACAGCCAGGTGAGAGGGGCCACCTGGAAACCACACCCTGGTCTGATGCCACGACTTTCCCTGTGCCCCAGTGTGTGTGTGTATGTGTGTGTGACTCTCCTGTGCCCCAGTGTGCTTGTGTGTGCGCGCACGCATGTGTGAGTGGAGTGGGGGTGGGGGCTAAAAATACCCCAAAAACCTTATTTGGGGAAGGACTAAACTGTCAAAAGAAGTTAGATGACCCAAAAGCATGAATTTTCAACCTGAAGACACTACATTTTCAATAACCATGTGAAATTCTTTCTGAGGCAGGACCAAGATAAAGTTTACGTTTACCCAGTTCCCATGATTAGACCTAAACCGGAGTGACTAGGTCTCCTCTCGGGCACACGGCGTCAGGCCACGTCTGCAGGTGTCATGGACACAGGTGGCAGCAGAGGTTGTGGGGTTCTTTGCTCAGCCCCACGTGGGCCAGTGCTCGGACCCTGTGAGCCCACTGACAATCCTGGCCCCCGCCACCCTCTGGCTCTAGCCGTCCTGTCTGGAGCTGGAGTCCCCGCTTCCTTCCACCGTCTACTCTACAGACAGGCCTGCAAAGCAACAGCCAACGGCCTGGGAGAACCCCCGTCTGCCCAGCACTCGTGACGGCGAAGCCTGCGGGTCATCCTGAGGGAGGCGAGTGCAGGCCACACACTCATCTCTCCCGCCACCGCCCCCTCCCGCGCCCACTCGGCTCCAGCACACGGGCCTCTTGCCAGCACTCACGTGCACCAAGCCTGGGTGAAGGGCCGTGTTGTCCAGCGTCCCCTCCCCCCGGCCCCGCCCCCCGGCCATCCTCTGTGGAGGGCTGGTTTGTTATCTGTCTCCCGCGCTGGTACAGGAGCTCCAGGCAGGCCGGGCCACCCCTGCCGTGTCCCTAGTGCGGGCACCGGAGGGGCACATAAACATACATCATCTTAAAAACTTGACCCAGACACTAAAGCTTTACTTAACCGCCACTAGAGGGCGCTCGCGGCCACCCAGGGAGACGGGATGGACAGGTGCTCTGGGACAGCAGGCACCCAGGGACACTGACCTTCCGCGAACTTGTTCTCCAGCTCCGTGTTCCCAATGGCTTTCGCCGCCTGACACATCTGCCTCAGCAGCTCTTCCAGGCGCCGCATGCAGCGGATGATGCTGCCTGCACAGAAAGGGGACACACTTGTTGGGGAGGAGGCCACGCGGAGGGCGTGGGACGCAGGCCCAGAGTGAGAAGGTGCAGAGAAGGGCCCTCCCATCCTTGCTAAGGGCCAGAGTCCTGGCCTCCATCAAGTGTGAGCACCTGCTCCTACACAGGCACCTGAACCACAGCACAGGCCCGGGCCGGCGAGAGCAGCTCTGGGCAGAGGCCAGCAAAGGTGTGGGCAGCAGCCGAGCCCGAGGAGGGCGGCCTCCCGAGCACCTGGGCCCCATCCCGTCAGGGGGTCACGGATTCTAAGCAGGGGTCCGGTCTGCCACCTGAAAGGTGCAGTTATCACTCCTCTGGCATCTTCCCTCGGGCTCTCCTCACCCAGAGGACCAGCCGCTCCCACGGGACTCGACCTGAGACAAGAGCTGGCGTCAAAGCCGCGCTGTGCAGGCTCCCTGGGCAGCCGTCAGCGGGGCGGCCTGGGTGCGTGCCGGAGCCATGGCCGGGATCCAGCCTGAGCGCCAAGGAGCCTCAGCTCTGAGGAGGCCGCTGTGACTCACGCGTGAACCGGGGCCCGTGAGCGTCCCCCGAGTTTGTGCACGGTGCCGAGGGCTTTCCCTTCCAGCGCCCGCACGTGGCCACAGCACAAAGATGACTCACCCAGCAGAACGGCCTCTGAGCCGAGACCCAGGCAAACACAGAGCCACCTCCCTCACGACAGCGCAAAGCAGCCCAGTGCCAGCACAGGCAGAGTCCTCCCTGCAGGACACCCCGGGCCAGAGCAATGAGACGAGGATGCAGCTCAGGAGACTGGTCACAAGGCGACTACAGCACGAGGTCACCTGACAGACAATGGGCAGCACCACCCACTCCAACAGGAGGGTCACCGGCTTGGGCCTGGCTTGGAGGAGTGAGCGGAGGCGCCAGGACCAAGAGGAAAAGGACAGTGGTTGGGGGGCGCGGGTTGTGACACGGTCACTGTGCGCGGCTGCCTGTGTCACCACTGACACCCTCAATGTGACCCCAAGTTCATCCCACTGCATTCCAGTCGCACATCCTCTTTCCAGCTGACACCGTCCTGGTGGACGAGGTACCACAATCTACGTTTTCACCCCACGGACATGTGGGCGACGTGCCTGAAGGCAGCTGTTCTGGAACAAGCCACCTTCTCACCGAGGACGGAAAGGCACCCGCCTCCCCAGCAGCATCTCGCCCCCAGCTTTCCGGCACCCGAGTGTTGCGCAGGGCCAGCCCTGCTCCTACCCACCGGGTTCTAACGGTCTGCCCTGAGGTCAGCATTGTGTGTGTGATTCATTCAG